AAAACAGCCGAGTTTATTAAAATCGGTTTACAAATGCCTGATCTACACATGTTTAAGATAACCTACTCTTGTAATGCTTTTCAATGCAAATATGCATGTGTCAGAAATGCATAATACACGGTTTACATACCTGTGCTGTGTATACGTGTCCCACAGTATTGTAAAGAATTTGTATTTAATTTACCACTCAATCACATCACAAACAAGTTTTGATTAGCAAAACAAATAGCAATTAATGTTATAATCAGTTATAAATCAATATATTATTGAGTTGTAGCTTACTTTATACATCTCTCTCTCTCTCTCTCTCTCTCTCTCTCTCTCTCTACAAAAATAAAATAAAAGTAATGAAAGAAAATAAAAATAATAACTGATTGAAATTTTGAAACAAAGAAAAAATATTTATTATAAGTAATGACTGTTTAATGAAATGCTATTAAATTTTATAATAAATATGTTTGTGTTTCAAACTTTTACATTTTTGGAAATATGTAAAGTATATTAAAATGTTCATAGTCAAATGATAAGAATATTTCGAATGAAAATTAAAAATATTATTTTGAAATAACAATTTTAAATCAACGTTAAAAATTTCAATCAATAATAAGTTATTATTAATGAATAAAACATAATTAAGACATGTTTTGTTATGATGTGCCACATGTTATAATTAACTAACCATAACAACAATATTTTATTCAGTAGCCGTGCCATCACAAAGCTCGTTTACATTTGTACATTAATAAATTAGTTGTATATTATTAATGTAATACAATTATAATTGTATAACTGTACTGTACATACCGATCATGTACAGTACACAACATAATACCTAAATCAGTATCAGGTGCTTTCTAACATTACATAGTTTAGTCAATGAACAATTGACTTACACATCAACCTCTGTATAATGAAATATTTTAATTAAAATCCTTTTATACTGTATAAAAACTGATTTATTGTTTTAGTGTATTTAGTAAACAAATATTGTATAATTTTTTATATTTTTTATTATACAATATTTTATAATTCTGGACGTTTTATTTAATGTCATTATTTTTAATCACAATTCTGTATAGAATAATGTGGTTTATAGGACTCGTTCGGCCGACCAATTCATACCACAGACTCATACTTATTGCTAATTGGATAACAATTGTTGACTGTCCACAAAGTGTGGCATTTATTCAATCAACAATTGCTATCCAATACTCAATGAATATTACGTTACTATCGATGGGGAGGTAGAGAACAGCCGGTGCTGAACGCAATGCTACTAAAACATTATGAGAGACCGGTCTCTATACAGCATTTGGAGGTTACATACATGTATGTTATTGTGAGATCAAACCTGGCTGTAACCATGGTCAGTTTAGTGCCCAAACATATATGTCATATCGTACATATCCATTGCCAACTGTTCAATGATATGGAGCCCCACATCACCGAACAGTTGGCAATGGATATCCACGATATGATATACAACATCGGGGGCACAATAGGCATGTGGTTCGGCCACGTGAGACAATAACATTAGTACAAATCAGTTTAATCAATATCAAATCATCATTTTCTCATTTTTTGCGTATAAATATTGTATTAGATGTTACTGTAGATTATTTTTACTAATAAAGTTAAGCTATTGTTTAATAAATTTATTTTTTAAATATATCGGATAACTTGTAATTCGTTATTAACGTTAGAATAGGAATTTATAGTTTGTGTGAAAGATTGTTTCTAGATTTTTTAATGTCCATGTACTACTCCTCCTTGGATACTGCAAACATGTTCTATTTCTTGGATAATCCAGGACGTTCCTAGACTATGGCAACCCTAATTGTAAGTTAAATTAATAATTAAAACAAATTATACATTTGGAATCTGTAATAGATAATAATATGTAGGGAATTTAATAAGTGACTAAAACAGAATAAAATACAAGTTTTTAAAAAATAGTCAATTAAATCACACTTTCCACAAATTATAAACTAAATGTAAATTATATTTGTAATTAATATATCAAACAACAAAGAACTAAAATATATTATAATTAATTGTAAAATATTACAGTATTAACGAATCAAAGGTAAGATTTTCCTATTTTTCTTTCGCATTAAAATATACTGTGATTTTCGATAATTATAATTATTAATGTTAACTGAATTGGGATTATAGATAGTATTTATAGAAATGTTTGTAGTATTTGTATGAGAATTAGTGATGATTATTGACTTCAATTTCGTAACCAATTGTGACAATAGGTTTGTAAACATAATGAATGAAAATCCAAACCATAGGCCCAGAAGTGAGCCGATGAATACCACGTACTCCTCCCACGACATCTTCAGTGATATCTCGTACACCACATCCGGTTCTGAAGGTATCAACAAATTTAATTCAAACTTATTTTTGTAGTATTTATTTCCAGTAATGAAATCATTTGCATAATAGTGTTGCACACATTCGACCCCATCATTGCATTCCCGCTCACAATACTGTTTAATACTCTCATTGACATGAAGTACAATATCAGTGATATTATTCAAACAATCGATATCTTTATAAACTAAATATTTATAGGGAAATATCGATGATTTCCGGCAATATTCCCGAACAATACATTCATCAATGCATTCATTACGAGTAATATTATTTGAGAAACACTTATTGCTATCAAACTTATGTTTATATACTATTGTAGTCTTTCTATACTTGATATTACATTTACTAATTGTCTGGACGGCTAGAGTTGTCATATATCGGGAATCAAATTCCCGAATTTTGGCGTTCCGGGAATGTATGTATACATGGAGTCCATTGTAAAACATTGACGTATTGCCAAATGGCATATAAATAATATATTTAGAAGTAGTGTCGGTTGTGTTCATCATATACAGGGTGTCCGACTCATGCGTCCACTGAGACAATACTGTCAGACATAATACATTATTAATGCCATTAATGGCCAACCGGTACGGAACAACCCGATCGCAACGGCCAGACTTTAATGAAGTCATACACCATATAAGGGAATCGAGTGGTTTGAGTGCCGCTAACCGTTTGCCAACCGATTGTGTCTTGAATTGACTCCAATTAAATTTCTGTGTTTTAGGGTTTATGTACTGTTCCCTCACATCGGGTCGTATGAGTATATTATGCAAATACATGGCATACGTACATATCGTAAGGGCTGGTGGACTAAACAGTACCGGCGATTCAATGCGGATATCTGTTGTGGTTTCGTATGAAAAGTATATGAAACTTATTTTGTAAGTTTGGTATAGAAATCCACTCAATAGTAATGTTTTTAATACAACAGATTTGATGTTTATTTTAGGCAACATTTTTTAGGTTTATATATTAGTTAAAAAATGAAATAATTATTTAAATATCTTAATTCAAACACTATTTTTCAAATAAATTATTGTATTCTAACAAAATATTAAATAACCCATATAATCAAAAATGTTTTATTATGATTGAGATTTATGCAAAAGTTAATGCCAGGCAATAGACCAAAATGTGCATATTTGTTTTCCAACCCAACACCCATTGTGTTAGTAATGAAAATACATTATGGCCTAAACATACGTTACAAAATTGTTTTTTCCATTTGTTAATTAAACTAAATGTCAGAGTAGTTAAACTAAATGTAAAGTTTATATTTATATCTATAACTAAACTAAACTAAAACTTTATATTTAAACTGTTGATGCAATATATGACTACTATTTGTTATACAATGGCACAATTGTTGTGGTCACACATCATAGCATAATCAGCGGGTGTAATGTAGGAAAGTAAATATGCACTTTTAATCTATTGCCTGGTATGTGTTTTGTTTGTATAAAACATTTTTGATAAATAATAATTTATGTATGAAATATTTTGGTCGAGAGCTAGGGTATTAAAGTAAAGTGTTGTAATGTAAAGTACATGTACAGTATATTTATCTGAATCTGTATTTAAAATTAACCGATTATTACAAGAAAGTACACTAAAAGATTTAATGAAGGTTAAGCGCTGAATAAAATTGATTAATTCGAATAATAATTAATTTTAATTTAACTTGGTTGTACCAGTTCTATTTCTTAAGCTTTAATACTTAAATATACTTTTTCATTCAATTCGTTCTCCTCTTTGGCCAATTGGATCAGCTCTCGCTCTTCGGCGGCCGTAATATTCACGGCGTTTGACTCAATGATAGTCTTATAGATATTGACATAAGACGACAAATCCAAGTCCATAAACAACAGATTGTCGGACAGGGGTGTCGGCCGATACAGGGGTTGACTTTTCAGATACGCCCGTAACTGCAGAGTACGCCAAGAGGGCAACATTTTGAGCACCATCATCCGTACAATTGAACCACGTTTCATTTCCCGCAACACCATATGCTGATAGTCAATAAGCGTGTCATCCATTGCCCGGTGCCTTACGTCGTCGCCGACTCCACCCAATTGTTGTTCAAATTTAGGATAAAATTGTCTCATTTTCGGAACCAAACTACCGGCCAATCCCTCCAATAGTTTACGGGTGTTATCATCGGTGGCCACGGATTGACATTTTCTTATTAGTTCAATACGGACTGTATTAATGTATTGGTAAATCATGGTTAAATTTACTTGGTTACATTACTTGGTTAAATTTATATTTTGTGCTAACACAGGTATTTGTAATGTGCCAATACGCTGTTACAGGTATTTACCTTAATTTATAATAAATTTTAACTGTTTTTAAATTATCTTTAAAACTACTTTTAATCAAAACTAGGTTTATTTACACACAATTATATGTATGATTAAAACCTATTAAATAAATGTAAATTAAAACATGATAAGTCATTTTATTTTATTGCATTAGTCAGTTAATACAATGACAGACTTATAAGATGTTATAATTTACATTTATTCAATATGTCTAAAGCTATGTCGTGTCTTTATAAACACCTGTACCCACTTCTATCCATTACTTTTCTACTCTTCCAGAATCCCTGACCAATCTTTATGTTTTCATTAGTCATTTCTCCCATCATTAGTGTCTTCTGGACGTAATCCGTGGTAAACCTCTTTGCCATAGAGTTGGCCAACGTTTCCACCACTCGATCACTCAATTGTTTGTCCGAAGGGTTAGTACTTATACTTATGGACCTTTTGGGGCTTTTTGGTCAATATTAATAGAATTTATATAAATATAAATTAAATGTGTAAATATTAAGTAAAATATAAATTTAAATGTTATATACAATAAATATGTATATACCCGATGTTTGGGGCCGGTTTGACCAAGTTGATGAAGATAAACAATAATATAAACTTTATGATAAACATATTGGACAAAAGGACCAGTTGAATAGATTTAACTAGATAATTGTTTAAACTTATTTACATAATAATAATAATTTATGGTGACGTACATAATGCCATATTTATAAAAAGAATTTTATGAAAAATTAATTAAATCATTATATTTTAAAATTACATACTCTGAATATAATATACATGTAATATCTGCAAAGCGTTTATTATAAACATTAAATTTAATGATCTATTGATACATAAACTCATTATAAAAATAAAACAAACTAATTTTACATAGTTAAATAAAATTTCGCATCCAATATCATCGTTTCGTTGGCCAATTGGATCAGCTCTTGCTCGTCGGCGGGCGATATTCTTTCAGTATTTATATCAATAATATTCTTACATTTATTCATCAGACTTTTCATATCCAGGTCCATAAACAACATCTGGTTAGACAAAACACTTGGCTTATACTTGGGCTGACTTTTAATATACTCTTGTAACTTTAGATTACGCCAAACGGGCAACATATACAGCAACATCATGCGTGCAAATGAACCACGTTTGATTTCACGGTAAGTCAATAAGTGATAGTCAGCTGTTGTCTCATCCATTCCCCGGTGCTTTAGATCGTCGCCGACTCCACCCAACTGTTGCTCAAATGTGGCGTAAATTTGTGTCATTCTTGGCGTTAAAGTCCTGATCAACTCGTCCAGCGTTTTACGGCTTTTGTCGTCGGCGGCCATAGAATGGCATTTTTTAAGTAATCCAATGCGATCTATAAAATGTTAATGCAACCATTTTAATTTATATTTTGTCATAGTGTGATTTAATTGTAGTATTTGACTTTATTACTTTAATGTAGTAAATTGTCTATGGCATGGTAAAGGCAATGGGCAATGTTAACTCAATTTGCATAACCCAATTTGTGGTTAACACAAAGCATGTGAATTTTGCATTTGTAAATATAAGTGGCATTAACTACACTAATCATTGTGTTAATTAAACATAATTTCAATTTAATGATATTCTGTTGCTAATTCTATTTCAACTCTATTTTAATTCTATTCTATTTCCAAATTAGTTAAAAACTGGGTAAAAGCGATTTATGACTATATCTCTGACAGTTGTGGACATTCAGTACTCACTCATAATTAAATCTTTGGTTCTAATCCAGAAACTCCGTCCAAACTGTATGTTTTCAGTAGTCAACTCTCCTGTCATTAGTGTCTTCTGGACGTAATCCGTGGTAAACATCTTTGCCATAAAGTCGGCCAACGGTTCCACCACTCGATCGCTAAACAGTTTGACATTAGTATTGATATACACATAAAATTTATCAATCAATTCTTTTTCATCTCTGGCCAATTGGATCAGCTCTTGGTCTTCGGCGGCCGTAATATTGGCCGCAATCGAGTCAATGATAGTCTTGGATATATTGACATCAGCCGACACATCAAAGTCCATATACAACAGGTTGTTAGACAGGGGTGTCGGCCGATACAGGGACTGACTTTTCAGATACGCTCGTAACTGTTGGATACGCCAATCGGACACCATTTTGAGCAAGATCATTCGTAGTAATGAACCACGTTTCATTTCCCGCATAACCATTAGCTGATAATCAATGACCGACTCGTCCAACGCCCGGTGCTTTACGTCGTCGTCAATGCCACCCAATTGTTGCTCAA